GATCTGTCCCTTCTACTGTATAGAAGTATAATGTCAATGGGCCCACTGAATAGTAGGACTTGGGAAAGTGCATGGCCATGCCCAGATATGTCACTATCTAGAGACTGATAAATATCTGATCCCTGCCAGTCTACTTGAGATTCAGTAACAGCTGATTTAACTATACAAGGATACACATCCCATGCCTTGTGTTAAATCATGACATTTAGGACAGAAGGATAATAGTTATAGAACGTCTTGTGTCGTAGAAGGTTGTAACGCCCCGAAATCTGGCCCAAAAGAAATAATTAAATTGTTAGAGCAATTGATTACGAATTGGGCCCAATAAGGGGTTAAAATTATAATTTGGTTTTTAAGCCCAACTTTTATGTCATCTCGTAGGAAATATTTTTGTGATCGCGTCGGTTCAGACGGCTCGCGAATCGGAGTTATGGAGCTCATGTTATGACCATTTAATCAGGTATTTTGGGTCCGAAGCCCAATCCTTTTTGGAATGGGACCATTAAATAAACCTAAACCTTAGCCACACAATCCTTATCTTCTCTTCGTTCGTTCGTTCCTCCTACTTCTTCTTCTTCTTCGATCCTTCTTCTTCCTTCTTCTTCGTTCTTCTTTCTTCTTCTTCTTCTTCGTTTTCTTCTTCTTCTTCAACTTCTTCTTCGATCGCCGCCGGTGTCGCCGCTCCTCGTCGCCGTCCAATTGGAGCAGCCAGCCGCCGGTGTCGCCGCTCATCGTCGTCGCCCGAGCCTCCAGCCGCCGTCGCCAAGCCTCCAGCCGCTGTTTCACCTTCGCCAGAAGTTCGCCGCTCATCGCCGTCGAGTCCAGCGCCGGTCGCCCTTCCCCAGCCAGTCGCCGCCGCTGTTTTCTTCGTCGGTCGTCCGCCGCCAGTCGCTGCCCAGCGCCGCCGACGACGGTTCACCTCGTCGTTCTGTCGGACGTCGCCTCCACTGCCGGCGTCCTTCCTCGCCGACGAATTGCAGCGCCACCAGTCGCTGCTCATCACCTTCGAGCTGCCGCTCCGCCACTGTCACCGGCGTCCGTCACCGTCGCCGCATCCGGCCGCTGCCCCGAGTTGATATCGCCGGCAGATTAACCTCCACGCCGGATTGATCGGTCGATTTTGCATTTTGACTCAATTTGACCCGTTTGTTTGATTTCGTCGATTTGTCTTCCGTTCGAGCTATCGATTCGATTTCAGCAAAATCCAGGTCCGTACTATGAAGTTAATAGCATTTAGAATAGATTTAATGTTTTGGATCGTTATATGTGTTTATGCTATAATTTGGCTAAATTGGTTAATTGAATTAAATTGATTATGTCAATTGAATTGTTGAGGTTTGTGAATTGACTGAACAGGTTTGACTTTGACTTGGGTTAGGTCACGTTTGACTTAAGCTTTGACTGGATATTCTGTCGACGTAGGTTTGACCGAATGGTTAAATCCAAAACTTTAATGAATTAGTTAAGTTAATTAATTAATTCTAATCGGTGATTAAGGTCAATTGGTTTATTATGTCGAACATAGAAACTGGCCATTGCTCGGGCGGCTGCAGGGCCTGGTCAGTGAGGTTAAGACGTGCGCACGAGAGTCTGTGATCTTGGGTTTGAGGCTATCGCCCGAGGGATCCTACCTCCACCGAATTGAGGCTATCTTCGGTATTACGGATTGAGGCTATCTCCGTCATAGGCATTAAATGTTAAGTGGTTTGACTTTGGTGAAAGTCTAAATTGGTTTGACCGGTGGTCAAAGAGCTAATGAGAAACCCGTAACACCTAAATCGTTTCGAAAAGAAAGTAGATAAGTTGACTTTTGGTCAACCGTCTAAAGAATCGAATGTAAAGTTGAATTGATTTTTATTAAAAGGATAAACATATGCACGATCTCAATTGTTGAATTATTATGTTTATTCTTGTGCTACAATGGAGTGCCACTCAGCGTCATTGCTGAGCGGATAGCGTTGTTTTCCTTTTTGCTGTCCGTAGGTGATCAGACAGATGAACCTAGAGCCGATCCCAGAGGGCATTGAGGAGGAGATGTACGATGGCGTGGCTGTCTCCTTAATCTGTTGATTATGCTTTATTTAATTAACTTTAATGCTTATTACGTTTTCGGGCAGGATCCCAAGTTGTTTAACTTTAAAAAGGCTTCCGCATTATTTTAAATTACTCCGATGGATTTTTATATGTATTGATAGAACGTTTATTTAAAATTGTTTTGAAAATGTTGCAAATTCGGATACCAATTCAGTGGCACACCGGTCCGCTGTCTCACGGGTTTGGGTCATGCGGGTTGGGGTGTTACAATGGTATTGATGAGATGAACGTCTTTTTCATAATCTGGGGATAATAATGTGTCACTCGTCAAACCCAATTTAGATCGGTAACGGACTCACCCAAGTGAGATGCCCGGTTTACGTTGTTTAGGCGCGAAACCCGTAACTAGGGTACTGACTCGCCCCGGGTTAGTCTTAACTAAGTCTTGGTCATAAGGATGAGAGACTTAGGGCTCTGCGGTAGGATCAATAAATAAAATCACATCATCCAACCAGAGTTGTAAATTGTTACAATTGGAATTTATTCGTACCAGAAATAATTTAACTGTAGGGCAAGATGCAAAGCACAACTATAGTTAAATGAAATATGGATCTGGCCCAATTAAGAATTTTATTTAAAACAATCCACCGAACCAAGAGTTGTAATAACGATTGCAATTGGAATGAATTCCTACCTAAATAATTTAACTGTAGGGCAAGATGCAAAGCACAACTATAGTTAAATAAAATATGGATCTTGGCCCGCTAGGGTATTCTTCAAATAGAAACCCCAAGTCAATAGGTTCCGTACCTGAGGGTAGTTGACTTGTTAGAAATAGTGGGAGAGTATTTAATAAAGACCTATTAGATACTTAATTCATGATAATAACTATCTTCGCAAAA